ATTAACCCCACACTTTAAAAACAAACATGTGAGCAAAGAAGAAAGCTATAAATCGACTGAAGAAATAAAATATGTTTAAAGGGATGTAAATGTCAAGAGGTCGGTATTCCTTTTTAAAATCATATATACACATTGTACTATACTGAATTTCTACTAGATAGATTTAACAAACAGGCGGAAGATTCCGGCTCCGAGCACACCAACTAGTGACATCCAGTACAAACAAATAATGCTAATAGACTCAAAATTTACATTGCAACATCAAGTCGCTTCAAATTAATATGATTAAAAATACATTATGTAAGAGCTTAATCTGCCTATTGCAGATCTTTCGTTTGGCCTCAAATGTTATATAAATCATTATTAGAATGCTAAATCCATAATCAACTCTCTAGAGCAGCGGTTGGTTGAATTAGTTAATAATTTAATTTAAAATGGATAATGGAGACTTTGTTTATTATCGTAACAACGATAGCAATAACAACCGAGACTACACTATTCTTCCAACGGCGATTACTCCGCTGAGAATGAAGTAATTTGATTGATTTTCTATATATTATCTTTCCATTCTCTACGGTCTCACTATTATAGTGAGAACTGTCAGCTCTTTATAACTAGAAATGGGCGTGGCTCTGCCCCTGGGGGTCGGGCATGCACCAAAAACAATAGGGATCTTCCTTGGGGTATAAGGAATAAGTATACCAAGTTTGAAGAAAATCCAGTAAGAATTGCGCCCTGTAGGCGACACAAAGACACACGAAAAGAAAATGGGCGTGGCTCTGCCCCTGGGGGTTGGGCATGCACCCCAAACGATAGGGATGTTCCTTAGGGTACAAAGAATGTGTATGCAAAGTTTCAAGATTATTAGTTAAGAAATGTGGCCTGTAGACGACAAACAAACAAATACTAGAAATGGGCGTGGCTCTGCCCCGGGGGGTCGGGCATGCACCAAAAACAATAGGGATCTTCCTTGGGGTATAAGGAATAAGTATACCAAGTTTGAAGAAAATCCATGAAGAATTGCGCCCTGTAGGCGAACCACAGACACACACACACACACACACACACATACATACATACATACACACACACACACACACAGACAGGGGCGACGGCATAATACGTTCACATTATGAATGTGGACGTATAAAAAATGCTACTCAGTTGAAAGATTTGTCAATGGCACTGAATAAATTGCTGGATGGGACAATATTGCACACTGGCATGTTAAGGAATTTTGTCTCGATACATTCTTTCACTTCATTAATAACTCTCACTAAAATCGCCATGTTCTTGTTGTGGCCTCTGTCATTTGATTCATCCATTAAAGTAATAAATGTACCTTGGCACATATGTTTAACTTCAGCTGTAAAATTTGAGCCCAGAGCATATTTATCTATCATAGTAGTTTTAGTTCTACCACACTGAAATTCTTTGGCTTATTTGCTGCCAAGAAACATTACTGCAGCCAGACAAGATAAATTGTGCTCTGCCACCATCATTGCAAAAAGTGTTTCTGCCCGATTTGTTTTGTTGACTTGTGTTGGTATAAAATTGACAAAAGATGTCACATTACTGGAATCAACAGCTTTGCCAATTCTATTATGGTTTTCCGATTGAACATGTCGTCGTGAATCGGATATGCCACCAGAAGTTATATTAACTGTAGCATTACGCACGTTGCATAAGGCTTCTATTTCTATTTTTACATGTAACGTTTACTCTTCGCGAGAGAATTGTGAAAATCGCACAGTCGTTTACTAGTCATTATGAAAATTGATAGTAATGGAACGAAACTTGTAATTTCTCCATTTTATCAGGTACGCCAATGTACTCTATTATCATTACAATATACTTTATTTACACGTGGGAGCTGTCAACCGTGTTATCTAAATTATAAGTTTCCGGCTAAATTCAGCCAATCAGAATGATTTATGAAACGGAAGTAAAGGTAGTTTACCTCTCTTTGTGAAAGTTGCCATTTTCCGTGAGAAAATCTCCCCCCTACGGGAGTTCGGGAGAAAGTTCCCGAATCCGTGAGTCTCACGGAAAAAAAACAAGTTAGTTGACACGACTGCAGTGTAGTTATATAAGGGGAATACCCAAATGACTGTCTGATCAGTGTAGTTATAGAAGGGGGATACCAAAAAGATTAACCGTATTACTGAATTGAAAACAGTAACAAAAATGTATTTGATTTAACTGAATCATTTTAAGTTCAAGAGAATACTTTGGCAGAATCAGTGTCAATGGGCCAATGGTTAAACATATTATGTAAAGGCGACGGTTAATCAAGTTCGTAGAGTGGAAGTATGTGAATATTGGTGGCGTTGACGATCATGTTACATGTGTACATAACTAATAGTCACTATTTATTTGTGTATTTTAGTGATGATGAGATAATAACGTCTACTTGATATACATTATACCAACAGCTAAACAGGATGGATGCTGAAAGGTTCGTATATTTAATAGACCAGGGGCCTATTTCACGAAATTTTAACTAAGATAAAATCCAAATTTTAGTAATTTGATTGGATAATATTCGGTTGATTTTAGTGCTTAGCCAATCAAAATTGAAGTATCTACTAAAATTTGTATTTTATCTTTAGTTAAAATTTCGTGAAACAGGGCCCTGGCTTAAGAATCTGTCCACTAGCCTATTGTAGACACTCTGAACATCCGAGTTAACTATTGTTTGCCTTTTGTAGATACGGTGAACATCAGTGTAACTGGGTTAAGGTATTGTGTTTACAAACAACTCTGGTGGACAGATTATAATAACACTCTAACTAAACAGATAATTCATGTGCATTTACAAAATTACGTATTTAAAAAATCGATTTGTTTTATAATATAGCTGTATTTGATTATTTTTTGATTAAATTTAACTTGAAGAAATTCATGAGGCAGAATACGTTGAGTTTGTAAATAGTTATTGTATACTATTAAAAAAAAGTAGGGGATATTTGATTTTGGGGGCATAATACTAAAATATGCAAATGACTACGAAAAAAGTCACTATAGAACCTAACAGAAGAAACATTTCCAGTTACATGTGACGCCCAAAAGCACCAATAGCTACCGCATGGAATGCAGGTGATGCTTGGGATCATCATGGGGGTCCAACCCAAGATTTGCACGACTCTGACTTTGAATGTTACAGTCATTGTGGCATTGAATTCCAGGGTGGAAACATCAGTTTAATTGTTTTAGTGACCAGAAAACAAATTTTGATATGCGTCGGCTTACCCAAAATGAAAGGTTACGTGCCCTTGGCATGCTACAGATCGGCACAACACAGGCGGTTGTGGCGCGGACGATGAATGTTTCTCAGTCTGTCATAAGCAGGCTATGGACCAGATACCGTGATACACAATCTGTACAGGACAGACCACGCTCAGGTCGACCAAGGGCGACAACTCAAGCCCAGGATCGATTTATCCGTACCTTGGCCTTGAGAAATCGTGTCATCACAGCAAATCAGATCAGCGCTCGTCTTCAAACAGACACTGGTGTGAGAGTGAGTGGCCAGACAATTCGGAATCGACTGCATAGGGGTCACCTTCGCGCCCGACGTCCTCGCGTGATCCTTTGTTTGAGAGATCATCACATTCAGGCAAGACGTCGTTGGTGTAGGGATCGTCAACACTGGGATAATCGACGCTGGAGCAATGTGATGTTTTCAGATGAGTCAAGGTTCACTGTTGATTTTTTGGACAGACGTAGGAGGGTGTGGCGTCGTCGAAACGAGCGCTTCCAAGACGTTAACGTCATCAGACATGATCGATTTGGGGGTGGTTCTGTTATGGTGTGGGGAGGCATCACTGTTGCTGGAAGAGCGGCTTTACATGTTGTTGCAGGGCGTGTTACAGGCCAGTACTACCGGGACAACATCTTGGCAGTCCATGTTGTGCCGTTCGCACGACGTCATGGCCGCCGTTTCATCTTCCAGGATGACAACGCAAGATGTCACAGGGCCAGGATCGTTACATGTTACCTCCAACAACAGAACATCACCACATTACCTTGGCCAGCACTGAGTCCCGACCTCTCCCCCATCGAGCATGTCTGGGACATGCTTGGACAGAGGTTACGTCAACGTCAACAACGTCCTGCCAATGTCCAAGAACAGGAATGGGACAATCTGGACCAAAATGACCTTAGACGTCTCATTAGGAGTATGCCACGTCGGATCAATGCTTGTTTGGCAAACAGAGGAGGATTTACCCGTTACTGACTTGGTTGTGATGCTGTGGTAACTTTGCTGTTTGACCCCGGGTATCATTTTACCCTTATAATGGTCAGTCTGTGCCTTACTTAGTCTAACGATCATTTGGAATAAATCGATGAATGATCATTTGGAATAAATCGATGAATGTGAACTTCATTTCATTTTGTCATTTGTTTCTTCGTCAGTTTCATTAGGTGACTTTAATAACACTTAAAAATCAAATATCCCCTACTTTTTTTGAATTGATATTTATATCATCTTTATAACTCAAACAACATGTTTGATATCTTTTAGGGCACTGAAGTCAGTACTACGCCAAGCCGAAAAAGGTGGAAATATAGAAGAAGTAGTTGAAACATTATCATTACAAGATAAGAAACAAGTTTTACTTATAGCCGCTAAATCCCGTTGGTATGAAGTTGTAATATATCTTGTAGACCATGGTATTGGTGTGCAATGGGTTGATAGTCGCCAGAGCAACCTACTGCACTTACTTTTATATAGCTACACAATTAACTACATGCTTGACGGAACATGCGAAGATCGTTTAATACAATGTATAGTTAAATTAGTCGACGCCAATCCGTTGAATGAAGATAAAGATACACCTATATCTATAGCTGTTAGAAAACAGCTGCATGGAGTTGTGACGTATCTATTAGAACATGGTGTTGATATTCATTATGTTGATAGTCGCCAGAACAATCTACTGCACTTACTTTTAACGTACGATTACTGCGGTAGCAGATATGACAATACTAAGGGGCGGTTAAATTGTGTGGGTAAATTGGTCGACGCTGGTGCAGACACCAATCAGTTAAATGAAGAGAAAGATACACCTATATCTATAGCTGCTAGTAAAGGGTTGTATGAAGTTGTAATATATCTGTTAGAACATGGAGTTGATTTACATTATATTGAGAGCTGTCAGAACAACCTGATCCATATACTTTTAGATAGCTCTAACATATATTACCTAAATAACAATACGGGTAGACGGGATTTATTATTACAATGTGTAGTAAAATTAGTTGATGCTGGTGTAGACGTCAAACACGTGAATGGTGATAAAGTAACACCTGTAGTTGTAGCCGCTAGAAAAGGATTGTATGACGTCGTGAAATATATGTTAAAGCATGGTATTGATTTACATTATGTTGATAGCCGTCAAAACAACTTGATACATATACTTTTAGATAGCTATGACAATGACAGTGTTAAGAACACTGATAGACGTGATTTGTTACAATGCGTGGTTAATTTAGTTGATGCTGGTGTAGACGTCAACCAGGTGAATGACGGTAAAATGACGCCTATATTTATAGCCGCTAGAGACGGATTGTGTGAAGTTGTGATATATCTGTTAAAGCGCGGTGTCGATATACATTATGTTGATAGTTTTAAATGCAACATTCTTCACTGCGTTTTAGGTTATATATATTCATATGAGGAATCAGAAGAGAAATATATACAGCTCGTTAATACAATCATAAACATGGGAATAGACATAGACCAACCAGATTATAAAGGTAATACCCCGTTGTTCTATGTCGCCGTTCTGTCTTGGTGAATTTTACAGAATGCGGTTGAAGTTAGAGGCAGAAAAGGACATACATGTTCGATTAAAATGTAAATTGATTAACATTTTATTAGAAGCTGGTTGTAATGTAAACCATCAAATCGAACTAGGACGAACGGCTTATATTCACCATATACAACACCAAGTCGATATCAGTATATTAAAACTATTGATTCCACATTCTGATCTAAGTTTAACGGATAATTAGTTATTGTGTTGGATATCACCTGATCAATTCTACAGCCGTCTTTAAACTTTTAGTAGATTCAGGTTCAAACCTGATGTCACACAACAACGGAGTTAGGTTATTACATGGTATTTTAAACTGTAAGAGGTTAGGGATGTTCAGTTATTACATTAGGGTAAAGTTGATTGTTAATGGTGTTACAGCTGAAGGAGAAAACATGCTCCATCTTTTAGCTTATGTTAAGTATGGTTATTCTGTCAAGAAGTTTAGCTGGTTGTTAAATAACGAGCTAGACATCAACCATCTCTATTCTAAATCCAACACGCCTACTATGATAGCTTCCTTTATATTAAACAGTAAATATTTAGAACTGTTGACACGTCATCCCAGACTAGAGATAAATGCACAAAATAACCAGGGTCACACGACTCGACATCTTTGTATCATTGGATTTACGATGTTTAAAGATGGTTTGAACAAGAGACAGGTAAATGGTGTTAAGAATTATTGTAAACAGATATATCCAATATACATGGCTTGTATTGATAGTTTACTTGGTGTTGATGGTATTAATGTAAATATCCACGACAATAGAGGGAGAACTAGTTTAATGATGGCTGCTATGAAAAACGATAGAGTTCTTACAAGGAAACTACTTCAGACTGGTGCCATAGTTACCGTGTTAGACTATTCAGGAAGATCTGCCCTACAATATCTGGGTATTTATCAGAGTGTGTTTGATTTGACTTGTTTTAAATTACTTCTATCTAATGGTAATACTGAACAATGCAAAACACATCCTTGCTGGCGATACTGTTAACATCTTCTGTGAGGCTGATTTTATAAATCCGATTGAAAGTCTGGTTTCTGTGGAATGGACATTATTGGGAATAACGGAGAAGGTTAAGTATTTAGAATTATCTCATTTAGTTAATGGTTTTCTTGTACTAAATGATGTTCTACGCCCACCAGATTACAACTTAGACCATATTGATGATGGCTGTAAGGATTTAGATGATTATGATGGCTATGATATAGATACAGATAGAGATGATGATTATAGTCAATATAACTACCAGAATTGTACTCTCAATACCGATCATGAACTAAGACAAGATTACATACGAATGAATAGACTTCCAAGTGGTGATTACGTTTTTGATTATCTTGAATTTTATGGTGATAAGTATGGTGACAATGATTGTGATACCGTTATATAATTCGCCATACGGATGATGGTATTTCCAAATGGTGGTGATACGCGGAAATCATAATTTAAATTATTTCCCTTTCTACATTCTGTCGACTCTTACATTCAGTACAGATGTCGTCAATATTTTTAAACCACCGGCAACAACTCTTTTAATAAAATAAAATAAAATACCTGGTGACATTTAAGAGAGAGAGAACCCATGAGGTTGGACAGGCGGCCCTATTCCTTGTCACGTACAATCGAAACCACGCCAGTTGACTCTGTGGCAGACCTTATGATACCGCGCACGTGCTAATCATTCGGCCATCCACCCCCATGCGTAGGTGATCATTTGAAGAAAAACAGTTGAGCCGTTTTTTTTGTGAAAAATAGACCATGTAGTGTCCGTAACCTTTAAAAAGAGAACAAAATCAAGTTCAAATTCAAATAAATAAAAATATTGTAGATTGAAATGTATAATATTTCTAAAGATCACATTGTATTGTAAGTTTTCAGTGATTTTCATGCACATGTCCACTGTGATTCTGAAAATTTTACAGAAATACGCCAGATCATTGGCCAAGAGGGAAGATGTTATCTCTGATACTCTCTCAGATTGGTCTAAGTCTATCAGTCGTTTACTTAAAAGAAGAATTTATATGCAACGTTTGTTAGATGATACTAGGCCTAAATCTATTTTCAATGATGTTAGCATTGTTGAAAATCTCAACGCCTTACATGACAAGTAGTCATTGTACCGGCTGACAAAGTGTCCAATAACTTAGTGTTTATATGTAAACTATATTATTATGACTGCCTGTTCAAAGAACTTAATTTCGGGAAATCAATCGACAGTGCTACGTATAAACGCTCTACGCTTAGTAAGGATGAAATTATATCCAATCACTGATCTGTACTCACTTCATTTGGTACTCCACGTGGAGATATCTATACAGATCTGCCCTTGTTATATTGGATACCTAAACTACATAAAAATCCCCACAAGCAACGTTTTATAGCAGGTTCATCCCGTTGTTCCACAAAACCACTTTCAAAAGTATTGACATCTATACTAACGGCAGTGAAAGAGGGTATTCAAAAATACTGTGACAAAATATACTCTCGTAGTGGTTTTAATCAAATGTGGATATTAAAAAATTCCAAAGAACTACTTGATGGTTTACAATCTAGATCACTTGCTTCAATCTCATCTATACAAACGTTTGACTTTTCTACTTTGTACACTAAAATTACCCATAGTAAATTAAAAGCCCGGTTAAAAGACATTATTCACAGTGTCTTTTCATCTAAATCGGGAAATGTTAGATATCAATATTTAGTTGTTAATTACAATTCCACATATTTTGTTAAGAACCATAGTGATTCCAAAAATAAATTCACCGCCAACAAGATAATTCAGATGTTGGATTTTTTAATTGATAATACCTTTGTTGAATTTGGAGGGGAAATTTATCAGCAAGTGGTAGGTATCCCCATGGCCACCAACTGTGCACCTTTGCTTGCTGATTTGTTTCTCTATTCCTACGAGGCCGATTACATACAGGCACTCGTAAAATCAAATAAACGATTAGTCAGACATTTTAATTTCACCTATGTTCTATCACTGAATAATCCAAAATTTAGTGATTATGTAGAATTCATATATCCTGATGAGCTCGAAATTAAAAACACTACTGACAGTGACAATTACGCTTCCTACTTGGATCTGCGTCTCGATTTTGACAATTGCCATAAACTTAATGTTAAATTGTACGATAAACGTGATGACTTTGACTTTCCGATTGTTAACTTCCCATTTATTAGTAGTAACATTCCAATATCACCAATGATCGGGTAGCTTCGGCTACTGTGACTCCATCTGAGACAATTTCTGTCCGCCTTCCACCTGCTTCTTCCATCTTTACAGCTGAACTCCAGGCCATTCTACAGGCCTTGGAGTTCATTCAATCATCATCTATATTTAAATATATAATATTTACTGATTCTTTGTCCTCCCTACAAGCAATAAACAACAAACAGCTTGATCACCCATTAGTGGCAGACATTTATCGTCTGCTACTATCATTCGAGAGTACCAGCAAGGACATTGTCCTTTGCTGGCTCCCCAGTCATATGGATATCAAAGGGAATGATCAAGCAGACTCGGCTGCCAAGTCTGCTTTAGATCTTCCCATATCTGAATTTTTAACGCCATATAAAGATTTTAAATTTATTATAAATAATTTCATTTATGGCCGCTGGCAACGGTCTTGGGATCTTGCAGGCACAAATAAACTTCATCACATTAAACCTCTTTTAGGAGATTGGCCAAGCTCCTATAGAACCAGCAGGAGGGATGAAGTTGTTTTGTGCCGCTCTCGCATTGGTCATACTTTTTAAAATCATATTTTCATTTTGAAGCGAGAGCCTCAACCAGAATGTGTTCACTGTCATGTTCCTTTGACAGTAAAACACATCTTGATTGAGTGCAATCATCTCAAGAACGTAAGATCGAAATATTACCGTTGCCAGTCTCTACGTCATCTATTTGCCCAACCGGGTTTATATTGTAACATACTAGACTTTTTAAAAGAGACATGTTTTTATCATAAATTTTAATTGTATATTTATCACTTCATTTTTGTATTTTAAATATTAATATGCATAAAAGGTTTATTTCATTTTTAATTTTAGTTACTGTGATATTGTTTTTATTTATGCATATAATACTATTTCTGTGATATTTATTTAACTTGTCTCGCATAAATCACCATATGTTTGGCGCAATATAGCCCGGTTGGAGCTGACGTGCCATTAAACAACATTTCATTTCATTTCATTTCCAATATCACCAGCTTATGGAGTGTTTGTGTCTCAACTAATTTGTTACGCGAGAGCTTGTTCATTTTATTCTGATTTTTTAAGTAGATCGAGGCATTTGTCATCTAAGCTTCAACTACAGGGATACGTGTGACTTAGGACTTCGAATTTTGTCTTATGGTTTGGATTGTTCGTACTTGGTTTTATTGTAGTTATAAATCCGTAATATACTGTCTATTTGTATAATTCAACTACCAACATTTATTATAGGAAATGTTCTATAACCATACATTTAGTCACAGATAATACATTAATTTAAGTTTCAAAATGAAATCTATTGAAGTGAGACAGCATAACCCAAAAATAGCTATTTTGGGACATGTTTATTGCTGTAACTCAACAACGAAGATATATTGACATAAAATTTAGTGGTCTTTAGGAGAGGTCATTATTGCAAATGTTGATTATAAGAAATGGACTGTAAATTCCAAACTGGGTATAACATTAACTATATACCTTATATATTTTATTCGTGTATATAAATTAAAGTATAGTAACACTTACCTTTTAATGGATACACTATATACCTAATCTATGTATGTAAATATATGTTATTATTGTATATAAATTATAGTATAATAACACTTTATTCTTGGATGGCAATCGCCTTCCAGTTGTGGATCAAACCAAATTTCTGGGGCTGATATTTGATAAGAAATTATCATTTATCCCCCACATTAAAAGCCTCAAAAAGAAATGTCTGAAAGCCCTCAACATATTGAGAGTCTTATCAAATACTGACTGGGGAGCAGATCGTAAGGTCTTGCTTCGATTATATCGAGCATTAGTTAGATCAAAACTCGATTATGGGTGTATTGTGTATGGGTCTGCCCGCGAGTCTTATCTCAAAGGGCTCGACACCATAAACAACCAGGGACTTAGAATCAGTTTAGGAGCATTTCGTACATCTCCAGTGGACAGTTTATACGTCGAGGCGCATGAGCCCTCGCTGCACAACAGACGTGATAAACTTGCCCTGCAGTATGCTACGAAAATGGCATCTTTACCAAATCATTTTTCATTTAACACCATATTTAGACATATCATGAGCATTTGTATCTGGTGAAGACTAATGTTATTCCATCGTTCGGTATTCGCATACAACCCCTTTTGTCTGAGGCTGGTATTGCGAATATCCCTGTCTTTAGGACTCCACCGTGGGCTATATCTCCCCAAAGATCGATTTCGATCTTACTCAACATAAAAAGAGAGATACTAGCTCTGCGGTGTTCCAATCTCTCTTTAGAGAGTTAAGGTCTAAGTATGGTGATTATGCTCCTATTTACACAGATGGTTCTAAAGATGACGACCGGGTAGCTTCTGCTACCGTGACACCATCTGAGACCATTTCTGTATGTCTTCCATCTGCTGCTTCAATATTTACAGCTGAGCTTCAGGCCATTCTTCAGGCCTTGGAGTTCATACAATCCTCTTCATCTTTAAAGCATATCAACTTTACTGATTCTCTGTCCTCGCTTCAGGCAATTAACAATAAACAGCTTGAACACCCATTAGTAGCAGATGTTTATCGTCTGCTACTATCGTACGAGTTTAGCAGCAAAGACGTTGTCTTTTGCTGGCTCCCCAGTCACGTTGGTATAAGGGGGAATGATCAAGCAGATTTTGCTGCCAAAGCTGCTTTAGATCTTCCCCAATCACCCTTTTTAATACCATATAAAGATTTTAAATCATGTATAAAATCATTTTATTTATGACCGCTGGCAACGGTCTTGGGATCTTGCAGGCACAAATAAACTTCATCACATTAAGCCTCTCTTAGGAGATTGGCCAAGCTCCTATAGAACCAACAGGAGGGATGAAGTTGTTTTGTGTCGTTCTCGTATTGGTCATTCTTTTTTAACTCACATTTTCATATTAAAGCGAGAGCCTCAACCAGAATGTGAAAACTGTCATGTTCCTTTGACAGTTAAGCACATTTTGATTGAGTGCAAGCATCTCAAACATATAAGATCACGATATTACCGTTGCCAGTCATTATATCACTTGTTTGCCCAACCAGAGTTATATTGTGAAATGCTAAACTTTTTAAAAGAGACAGGTTGTTATTATAAATTTTAATTTGTATATATATATCTATATGTAATATATCATATTTTAAATGTTTATATGCATCAAAGATTGTTTTTTATTATTAAATTTGATATACTGTGATATTGTTTTTATTTATGCATATAAAATCTTGTGACACCATTTAGCCTGTCTCGAAAGAACCACCATATGTGTGGCGCAATATAGCCCGGTTGGAGCTGACGCGCCATAAAACCATATTTCATTTCATTTATAATAACACTTACCTTGTAATTGATACACTATATACCTAATCTATGTATGTAAACATATGTTATTATTGTATATAAATTAAAGTACAGCAACATATACTCTGTACGTAGATACTATATATCTAATCTATGTTTGTAAATATATATTATTCTTTAATATAGATTATAGTATAGTTTATACGCTCGTACTTGTACTGGATATACTATATACCTATTCCATGTATGTATTATTCGTTGATATGCATTAAAGAATGGATACATCGGTGGTTTTACTAGAAACAAATTATAAATTAAGGTATAACATCATATACTCTGTATATACTATATATGTAAATATTATTCTTTGATATACATTAAAGAATGGATACATCTGTTGTTTGTTTTACTGCGAACAAATTAGAACATAGCCATAAGTGGTATAGCCCACGATCCTAACTGCTTGACTCCGCGGACCAGTACATTTAGCACAGAGAGTGAGAAATGGGATTTAACATTCGCTCGGCACAAACTATATCAATTCGAGCCAAGGTTCCATTGTATGTTGGGTCCTTTACCAGTGGGATGTAACTTGTCTACAACGTCATAGATCGTGTGTCGATTCCTGTGCGTCGTCCGATTCCTGGTGAAATATGCAAAATGAGAAAACATTTCTTATCAGTTAGAGATTGGAGAGGGGTTCACTAGTCCGCGGGTTCACTAGTCGCCACTATAACAAATACTATAAATATGGGTATCAAAAAACATAATCCGAACCCTAACCCTAACCCTAATAATAGATATTGATGGACTAATGAACCCGCTGACTAGTGTGCCATAACCCTAACCCAACCCCTATAATAAATATCGGTGGACTAATGAACCGCGGACTAGTGAGCATTCCCCAGGGATTGCAGTGAAAACTCCAGCAAGATACCAAACCCCTAACCCCAACAACAGCTCTTGTCTGGACCACCCTGGATCAACCAGCTGCCATTCTCACAACCTGTGTTTTGCCACTACCTTGACAATATCCAATTTCGAAACACCCCAACCCGTCCGCTCAATTTATCTGTTTAATTCCCTATTTGTTTTGGTCATGGGTGTAATTCTAAGGAGAATAATTTGGTCTAGTAATATGGATGGCGGGATTTGTGCTAAAGAACGCATATGTATATTAATATTATTGCCTTGATTAATTATTCTCCATTGTCAAAATTAAAATGTTTATGAAATATTGGGAGAAACACAGAAGGGTATAGTTTGTGATGATATGATACATGAATTGAATTATAAATTAATAAACACATTATGCCATCTTAATGGTAAGGAATGGAATGTGTCTGTTGGCCAAATTTGGAAATGAGTGTCTGCTGGTATGCAAGGCATGAGACATGACCAACCACACGACTAAATTACGTCAAATTGGACCAATGAGAAAATGGGTAGCGAGAATCCAAGCTTAGAAAAACACTCGAGATGCGCGTGCGTTATGAGAGACCGTTGATGTCCAAGTGGCAACATCTGGGTTGAGGGATAGAGCGAATGACTTTATTATAATCTAAGCTTGTATCCTATGTATCGGAGCTTAATATAAATCTGTAATCAAGATGCAGTATATTCGATCACAATGTGAAGTTGTCAATAATGAGAAATGTCAGAATGATTTAAAGAAATACACAACGTCTTATGTCCGAGTGGCATTTAAAGATACGTCCTAACCAGTTAAAGAATTAGAAATACAACCAGAGACAATACTAGACGAGCACAAGAGCTGTTCCAAAATATGTAGTAAGAAATGAAATGAAATGAAATGAAATGGGGTTTAACGTCCTACTGTTTTGTTCCTAAACTGGGCTAATGAAGGCGTGCATACGCCATACAGTGTGCTATGAGGGAAAGTTTGCCCGGGCAGCGGCGCTACGGCCTACTCTTATACCGAATTCCAACTGCCAAGGGATTTTTTACGTACACGCCAATTTGTAGACGGGACCTCGGTCTTTCGTCCCATCCGAACGACTAGACAGCTGCCCTTGACAGGCCCTCCGTCCTGCATCACTGACAAGGGGAAACCACGCCGGAAAATCTGGATGAACTTTCTCTTCAATGCAGGGATCGAATATGTAGTAAAAAACGGTGCATGGGTCAGACGCCGGATGTGGCGATCGGTTTTGCGACATGTCCGCTGTCCACGTCTGACAGACAATCCATGCTACTACACTGGACCTTGGTGGGTCTTAGATTTAAAGTACCCCGGGGATATAGACAACCAAAAGCAAGTGCCACACATCGGAATAGCACTAAAAAACTCTAAACCCAGTACGTAAGATTGGTCAGCTTTGAAAATGTTTCGTTGGACCAGCCTGACAACTTTTCATTATGTTTGTATTTGTTGTTTAAGCTAAGATATTTCTCGATTCTAATTATATGTAAACTTTCGTCGACTTACTGGAGCCTGTGGACATGGAACAATCCAGAATTAACTCATTATCGCTCTTCAAAAATCGTTTAAAGAGACGCGTCTTCGAGAATTACTGTCAAATCAATGCTACGTAAGTGTTCGACTCGGTTTTCTATGTATGCGATCTTGTAAGTTTGGCTACAGAGGAATATCATGAAAATGTTCATAAAGTAAAGTGGAGTTAGTCTAACCCTGGTATTTTGGTATCCAGTTGGCTATGCGCGTACAGTTGGCGCGCGCGGGTGTGTGTGTGTGGGGGTGGGGGTGGGGGGGGGGGGCTTAATCATACAGGTCGCTTTCTAATTCGGGAGATGTGTCAGAATGCAACAAATCGCATTTGTTTGGTTTTTTTTCAAAATTCCCCTTCGTGACAAAATAAAACCGCCGGTACAATTACTGAAAGATAAAAAGGTGTTGTTGATGATAACAGTATATTTATCACCCGATGTATCTATTATAAAAGTTTTATCAAGATGACCTCACGCTGATTATCAAAAATAATAACATCTACTCCCAGTCCATATCAGTGTACATGTGAAGTAGGTATGTACGCTACAGGTGAGTATTGATCATATTATTATTTCATGTTTTAATATCTGTATGTGGGTAGTACATATAGCTGAATACCTTGTGTCATTCAGATACTATAATATATTACTTGATTCCATATCGCAGGACTGGGGGTTGAATGGCCGAATGGTTAGCGCGTACTCGTTGTCTCACCAGGTCTGTCACTCAGTTAACTGGCGTGTTTTCAATTCACCGGTTGTACGTGGCATAGAGTAGGGTCGCCTGTCCAATCCCGTGGGTTTTGTCTCGGTCCTCCGGTTTCCTCCCCCTGATAAAGACCCCTACGCACAAGTGAATTATTAAAATACAATTGAAAAATATGTGTCGAGAGGACTTTACCCCCGCCCTCTCTCTCTCTCTCTCTCCCTCTCTCTCTCTCTCGTTCGAAAAATCGCGTTTTAGATTCTACGAAAAATAGCGCTTTTAGCCTGTGGACCAATTTTGATCCGATTTTGAAAACCGTTCAATTGTATCACCGTCACACTCTAATGGCGGTTTGAGTTCAAATTTCGTGAAAATCGGACCTGGCTCACAAAAGGGCTGGTTTAAATATTTATCCGATTGTGATAAAACTTAAAATGTATATTTATATTCCAAAAACTAGATTCCTTTCGATAGTCTCGCATATCCGACCATACTTTCATACATTATGGCCCCTGAGTGTAGCATTGGGATAATGGGTTGATGAAACTTATTGGTAGGGGGCCTACTCAGTGATCTGCGACCTTCAGTTCCGGGGTTACTGCACCTTCTCCAAAAACCCTGTTTACCCATAGAGGCTTCCGTAAACATTAAAAAGAATTTTCATCGAGTGTTGAACATTTTACCATGTGTATGCCGTTAAACACCATTTTTTAATTTGTATTTTATTTTTAGCAACAATACTGATATCATAGTAAATTTATCAAGATCTTAAACATAATAATATAGAAAACAATACACTGATTGTAATACAACCATTTGTTACATTTCAGGATCAACTATTGTTAACAAAGAGGTTGAATGGGGCAAGTTAGCTGAGGACCGAGAAAGGGTCCTACGGATCATAGATTATCTGGTAACTCATCACCCAGACAAAATAAAACCCCTGCAAGAATTACTGAAAGGTAGCAGTGGTATGGATTATTATAACAGGAGGTTTTTGGCCAGATGTTTTAATAGAGGTGACATCAAATTGGCGGCAGGGAGATTATCAAGAATATTAACGTCTACATATGATCCCAATTCATATCCTTATTTTATACGATGTCTACATAAGTTGGATTTATCATATGTAGTAGACATGTTCGATAAAGGCGAGTATTGATCCTAGTTCATGTTTGAATATCAGGTGGGGTGGGTGGCCGAAAGGTTAACGCTGTATCATAAGATCTGTCATTGAGCTAACCGGCGTGATTTCGATTCCCCGGTTGTATGTGACAAGGAGTAGGGTCGCCTGTCCAACCCTGTGGGTTTGCTCCAGGTCCTCCGGTTTCATCTCCACTGCTAAAGACCCCTACGCACAAACGAATTATTGAAATAAAATTGAACCATATGTTAGTCCCAAATGAACTAGTTTGTGTCGAATGAACGCCAAGCCCACCTCTCTCTCGGGTTTAATATCATAAACAGGTTGATATTGAGTTACTTTGTCTGTAGGCATTTGTGCGGGTAGTACATATAGCTGAATACACTTGAAATACTGGATACCACCATGTTTCCATTTCACACATTAATTTCTTAAAGTTGAAATACAGCGATGTCTGTAATATACAGATTAACCTACTGGTCTAGAGCTAACCTGCTTAGCACCACCACCAACAACACAACCACCACCAGTATACCACCACATACATACTCTTACAGTTCACTGCATTGGCCGAGAGAGTTCATCGCGATTTTCCGACATGGCTTCCCCTTGTCAGTGGTGCATGACGGGGGGTCTCACATGAACAACCGTCTTGTCGTTCGAATGGGACGAAAAACCGAGGCACTGTGTATACACCCATCACCACACATTCTATGCTGCTATGCCTGTGAATTGAAGATTAATAATGATCTTTCATTTTGATTACAGGAAACATTGCTGAACATGTTGACAGTACCGACAAGGGACTAGATTTAAAGAGGTTTCAAGAATCTAAGCCTGATCTTTAAAAGCTAGAAAAAGGGAGATCAATAGGGTTAAGTGACCACTGGTCACAAACTGGGTCATTGCCGAACTAGCATTTTACTAACTGGTTATACTAGAAATTCTGAACTTGTCAGAAAAATTTGGCGAATATATATAATGTCTTCTTCATTAGTGCATTGATTAAATTTTGATTTAAACAAGAATACCCAAAGCTTACACAAGAAATTTCAGAAATACATTAACCAAGTATTCTAATTAACTGTGTAGTGGGTAATTGGTAGTTTTAATACTGAATGTGGGCGTGACCAGCCTCTCTTCTCATACGCCCTAATCGGTATCCATGCTTGTTTTACAAGTATGGCGATTGTTTAGGGCGTTAGCTTGTCTTTATTTAATTATTTCTGTTGTTTTGTAATCGGAGGTCAGCTTTAAAACCTTAATCAACGAGGCCTAGTGTTTTTAAAATTTATAACAAATACAGGTCTTGGAGATATGCCACTATCATTTGTACATTTTATGTGATATTTGATTATATGACCTCGTATTTGAATAAATTATAAACCTAAGAATAAATCACACCAAGTATTCTTCACCATTTACTTATGTGAATGGGTAAGTGAATTGTGCACATCGGCTTTATTCTTCACATTTGCAAACTACTAGACCCTTTAGAATAGGCAGATTTTTATCGACAATTTTAATTGTAAATATATATATCACCTTGTTGTTCATTTTTAAATATGAGTGTACACGAAATTGTGTTTTTTTATTTTTAATTATTTAATATATTGTGATATGTGACCGGTAACAGCCAACGGACATGCTCAATTAACGCTACGATGTAAAATAGCTACTTGAGCTTAACTTTAAAAAACATTTTTTTGCGAAATCCGATGCTGTAACTTGTCTATTATTGGAGTAATCCAGACAAATTTAAATATTTAATTAATTTAGTGTATAAATTACCCCAAGTGACTCATTTGGCTGTCA